ATGTGTTTATTGTAATCTATTAAGTTTAATCGATATTTTATAACCCTTTTATTTAGATAAAGTGATTAAAGGTACTCTATGTATGCCAGATATGCGAAGTTTAGGCTTGTAGGAATGGTCATGATATTTAAGTAACCTTGGTATGGATGAAAATGTTTTATTTTGAACAGTGTGTGTGGTACGACACTTTATAAGACGGTATTAAAACTTGCAGGAATACAGAACGCAAGTAAACGAACAAAATCTTATCTCTGCTGGTGTCGAGCTACTTTAAGCAGTAAACATAAGCTGAAATTCTCTGCTTTGTGAATTGTCTCAGGTGAATTTAAACCACTCGTGAAAACGAGTGTTAGAAGTTTGAAACTTCATAAGAACTTCGTCAACTATCATTCTAATAATCTGTATGTATGTGTGTGTGTATGTATGTGTGCTTTAGTTTAGCTTTAATGTAATCCAGAATAGCCAATAAAATTCGTGTTTCATTTATAAAGAATCATTGGTTTGGAGTCATATAATTTCCAGGTCAAAACTTTTGCCAAGATCAACGTTACCTCTCTAAGAGCTTACAAATTATCAAAGAACGTATTTATCCGTGGCCAGGAGAATACATAGTCAATTTGTTAAAATATACTGAGGTCACGGCTCGCTGGACGACCCTTGATTTAAAGTGTAACATAACAAATTTGAAATCGGTTTAATCAGGTGAACTTCGGATTTTCAGATCCGAGTCCTATCAAAACCTGAATGAATTAATAATAATTAATTCCCTTACAAATTTAAGTAATCAAGTTATTACAGTGTGAAATGAGGGACATGAAAGTAACACCAGTTTAAGTTACCTGGATGATCAGTCTGATATGCAGCATTGCTATGAACAACAGTCAATATCACATTGCAATATATATATACATTGCATAACAGATATTTGAGGAAAAAACAGCACTCTTGTTCGAGTGATATTGCTAAACTATATAATATTTATATAAGACAAATATAAGACAAAAACCCATTCAAGGGACCCTTTTTGCCCTCGTGTCTTGAATTTTAGGGGCATATGATTGCATTCTAGTCAGTCATTGTCCAGCATCATGTTCATCAGCAACTACATGCAATGGTTGATGTGTTGTGTTAAATGCATTAGTAATTTTAATGTTATTTTTTTCCATAATTAATTGCATCAAATTAATGTGTTAAATCGACAGCCCTAGTTATTACCTATGGTATGATGCTGCTGTGGCCAGATATATTCAGAACAACAGCATGCTTGCTTGTGTGTTATTGCTTAATAATAAAAGTGAGAACTAAACAGCTGTAAGCAGCAATTAAAGGGCCAAGCGCAGCATAGGCAAAAATGAGGAACTAACCAAGTTCTGTATGGCAGGGAACATCAGGCCAACTGAAAAAAAAAAAGTAATTAAAGACATCTGTTGATGATTTTAAGCAAAATTGTTGAAAAATCATAAATACAATCACTTGTTGTTTTAATTGATTATCACTTTTGACAAATAGGTGATGTTGTGACAAAATTGATGTGAAAGGTGAAAGAAATTCTAAATGGTAGACAGGAAGTTCATCTGACTATGGCATATTTGGTATCATTGTTCTAGATAAGACTCAAGGAATCTATCAAGACCAGTAGGCAAAAATATTGAGAAGCTATTGGCCTTTTTTAAAAATTCGTTATATTGCCCAAAACTTTTTCAGTACCTTCAGCTTATAGTGACATACAGATATGTAATGATACACCAATGTGTTTGTAAAATATAGTGATTTTTATGTCTAAATTCTAAATGGCCAACAGGCAACATGGAGAAATTGGGTACCGTTTGACTCTGTATGCAGCACTGAATCTAAAGGGACTGTCTCATGTGTTTTGACCAAACCATTCAGAAGTTATAAACAAAAAAGCCATTTTTCATATGTCCTGACCACTAGGTGGTACTGTGCTGAGACTGTGCAGGTTCCCTCAGGTTATGGTTATCATAACACACCAAGTTTGGTTTGAATACGCTAAAGCAGTGTTTCCCAACCTTTTTTTAGTCGCGGCACCCTTTGGAAATTTTAACAAACTTGTGGCACCCTACAAAATTAATTTTGTCACAATATTTGAATTTCTAACTTCGATATGATACTTTGAAAAGTATCGATATTCGGTACAGCAGGGAAGAACTGCAGAATGTGTCATATATATATATATATATATATATATATATATATATATATATATGTATATGTGTGTCAGATATTTTTAATATTAATTTTTTTGTCCATGGAGGCAATCAGTAGGCTAATTTCTAATGAGGAGACCAATTTATATGACAGATTTTAATGTAGGCTTTTATTCATATGTAAACATTGTTTAATTACCATTATAACTTCATCGGTTATATCTCAATATCTCACAAATTTTTGCTCACTCTGTGTATTTTTGATTTTACAGTGGGGTAATTTTGTTGCAGTAGCACGAGATAGCTTGATTTCAAACTTTGAATTGAATAAAAAATGACAAGTAAACAGTCAGTAATAAAATAAGAACAAATAAAGAAATTAATAATGATAGCACAAATAAAGGATAACGACAGGCCTACAAATGAAATCAATTGCTTTTTAGTTTTTCAGGTCTAACAGTAGGCTATTAAGAGATTTCGTTTTGTTTTTTTTTACCAATTATCCAAATAATGTTTAGTCCTAGAAAGCTATATTATTATCAGGACACACGAGCATAACATAGCGGTTAGCAGATCAATGAATGAGAGGGCAGTGTTACCAGAGATGCCCATATACCACACCTTGTTACAACACAGTAGGGCTATTGCAGACAGAAACCAGAGCGTCACACCACGTGAAAGTGAAACTAATTTTCGGTGAACTAATTTTCGGCAGCCGGAATTTCGGTGCATCTCTAATTATTGGCGACATCAGAAATGGATATTATATAATAGATGCTTTTTTTAACATTTTAGCAATTTAAAAATATTAAAAAATGATTTTTTTACACGGCACCCCTGCTCTCTACAGACGGCACCCCAGTTGGGAAACACTGCGCTAAAGCATTGCAGCAATAAAGCCTCAAATCCATTTTGGCATTCTCTTTAGTCATTCGTTCACATGTTATATGAGAGTGGTTTGACTAATAAACTTTAATTCCATAACTTTGTATTGGCATTGTCTAAAGATGATATGATTCGATTTTAATGAAAATCAGAGCAACGGTCTAGGAGGAGTTTGAAAAAATGGTTCAAAAGTTATTAGCATAAACGTGAGTGCAACTTTGGACAGTTAGTAGCACTATCAGCTTTGAGATAGTCTCCAAATTTTCTGTGGTTAATGTTGAGGCTGTCCTCTATCTGTTTGCCCGATTTCATAACTTTTTATCATACAAGTCTATGAGCTGCCATATACTCAACCAGAAGAAAAAGAACACTAACAGATACAGTGAGTGTCTATACACGTTCAGTGCTTGGCCCCTAATAATAATAATTTAATATAAAACAAAATAAAATTTTATTATTATTATTATCATGCATCCACTTAAACCAAAGTGAGTGAAGCCCTGAGTTTCAAGTTCCTAAGTTTGTATTCGACAAGAGTCATCAATAAAGTCCCCATAACAAATTAGATGCTGATATGTGATTCTGCAACATATGCACAGTATTTATTTAATAAAGTCTTTTGAAGCATAATAATCACACTAGGCATCAAGGGAATAATCAGTTTGAGTACAGAGTAGCATCCTTGGTCCTTTCTGGCTGGTATGCTGGCCTCTGTAGGCAAAATTCAGTTCATCATGTTTATCAAAACAACAAAATATATAATATTTGTGATCAAAACCTATTTTAGACCCGTTGGCTTAGAAGGCTGACCTTGCAAACAATGTAGGACTTTTAATACTAACATTTACAGGAATTAAAAACAAATGTTTTAGTTCTACTGAAATTAAACTTTTGCATTTCTTGAAAAAGCATTAATAAGCACTATATTAGACCCTGCCAACACAGGCAGCCTAATATAAAATAAAGCATTATGTAAGGTATTGATGATAACGCCTCTTGTTGGAAATTCTTCAGTCATTTTATGTCTGTTTTACTTATATTTGTTGTTCTATTCACCTCTTATTTTTCCTCTGTAGCTCAAACTCTCAAAGTCTTTCACCTCCCAGTAGCAACAATGCATTCAGCTTGGTCAGTTCAGAGCAAGACAACCCATCAACCAGCGGCTGCAGGTAACAAAACCACAGGCCTTAAATAGCTATAATACAGTTGTATCACTTAATGAAGAAGTCAATCAGCTCCTCTTTTTGAACTAGTGAGTGAGTGTTCATTCAGTAAGTTCAAGAATGTTTTACATTGTAAAACATGCAGTGACCCCTTTTAAGAAATACAGTAGGTACAATAGGATAAATACTAGTGTCACTTTGTATTTGTGTTGTTTCTGCAGTAGTGAACAGTCAGCAAAGGCTAAGACTCAGAAGGAGCTTTTTAAGACCTTAAAAGAGCTGAAATATCACCTCCCTCATGACAAACGCAGCAAGGGCTGGGCAAGCACACTTCACACTCTCAGATATGCACTGCGCTGCGTCAAACAAGTCAAAGGTCAGACAACCACAAACGATAATTTATGCTATATTTTTGTATATTAATTTTGTGTAAGCCTTGCATGTTTTTCTTTGCTTTTGCAGCCAATGAAGAGTACTATCAGATGCTTATGATCAATGACAGTCAGCCCTCAGGTCTGGACGTATCCTCATATACTATTGAAGAAATCAATAGTATTACCTCAGAATATACCCTCAAAAATGCTGTAAGTAGAACATACAAACACAGCCTAAACTGCCTTAAACTTACAGTGTGCCCAGAAACTCTCTGCGAACATATATCTGAATAAGTCAAGTATGTCATTTTTTTAAATCAGTTAAAACACAATAAACATATTTTATATACAGTAGACGTAGACCACATGGGATGCACTGCATATGCCAAACCCAGATCCCAGATTAATCTATGACATACATCAGTGTAATTTGTTAGAACGTTTTAAAGAAAAAGGAAAAAAAAAACCTGACAAGTGTTTTGAAATGCAACATCTGAATAATGTCTTGAAGTGTGGTAACTGTAGATTACAACTGTGTATGTGTATATTTATATGTAAGGAATAATTGACAACAGGCCGTTGAATTATCAGAAAATGTATTTATAATTGTATAATTTTATAATTTGTAATAATGCAGTCCCACCCCGAGACTGAAATTATTTATTTAAATTAATATTGTCAATATATAATGTAATATTTTCGAGTTATACGATTTTTTTTGTAATACAGCTGTCTGTGGAACATAAAATGTTTTTTTTTTTTTTCCCTTTTCTTTTTTTGTTCATGCAGTGGATGTCAATGGTAACCAAAATAGTTTTATTACCATTGATAACCAGTAGGTGGCTGTAAATGTCTTCAGTTATTCTTTCATTTGATTTGTTCAAATGGCTGATTCATTCAGGAATTAAGTAAATGGCTCTATTTATGAATGGGCCATTGAATTATTGGTTCTCCCGATTTGTTCAAAACGCAGATTCACTCAGAATGAAATACTTGTATTTGTTGATTGGACAACAGTTCTGCTGTGGTTTTATAGGTAACCCTAGGTTTTCCTAGGCAAAATTTAGCGAAATCAGACAGTATAGTGTGTAAAATATAACAATATTAAAGTCACCATGAAATCAAAATAGAAAATTCTTATTTTTTAATGGAATACTGTAGTGTTTATTATAAATAATTTATCCGTGCACTTCATTATTTTTTTTTTAATTCATGTGCCCTCTTAATCTTTAATCAAAAACGTTAACCTCCCCTCCCCCTCAAAACGACTCCTCTTATCTTCCGGTCACGAGTTATGGCGCAAGGGCGGAGCTAGTGACGTGAGGGGTAAACGCTGGGATAAACGACAGGGGGAAAAGCTGAAGCTGATGCTTCACTTTATAGCACTGACACCAGTCATGAGGGAGTACGTTACCCCTAAACATTGAAAAGATATTAGGATATTACGACAACATTACTCTTAGGACATCGCAAACAAATTTTTTTCATGAATATGACTTAACCTGATGGAGGACGCGCTCAGTCATTCAGGCAGTCTCAATCTCTGTCGCGCGTGCTGTTTGGGCATGTTTTGTGCCATTGATCGTCGTCGTCATCCTTAATAAATAAAACATTCATTCATGCTTGCGTGTCGGCTGTGATCCAGTGGCCATTTTGTTTGCAACGCACCACCTTCCAACGATCCAATCAATTCCCGAAGGACGAAATCAAGTCCCGCCCTCTCATTTCAGATTCCGTTTCACTCGGATATACGTCACCGTAGAGAAGAAAAGACAATCGCAACTTCCGTTTCATGCCGACTTTAACTATCACATTTGCACTCATGCTATTCGGGAGTCGGGACAAAAACAGCACCCGTGTGATATTGTACTCTGTGTTTGTGTGATATTGCTTAACTATATCTTTATCATATGATATAAATATAAGACATACTCAAAACTCATACAGGAGCATTTTTTGCCTCAACAGGCATATAATTGATTCTGTAGACTACATTACACAGTGAGTTGTTGTCCTGCATCATGTTCATCACCAATCAACTGTATGAAATGTAAGATGACCTATGTAGATTTGGGGTGGGGCGGGTGTTTTGAATGCGCTAATAATTTGAACACTTTTTTTTTTTCCCCCCAAAACTAATTAATTAAATTAACATGTTCAACAGCCCCAACATAATTAAGCCTTTGGAAGCTCTATAATGATCATTGTACTTTCCAGCAGGGCAATAATCCCAAAGCATACATCCAAATCTACTGAAGCTTTTAGAGATTGGTCCTAGAATGTTCTTGAGTGCAGTCTCTTGATTTAAATATCATTAAAAATATTTAGTGGTATTTAGTGGCAACATGAAAATAATGATCAGTAATGTGAATGATTATTATCAAATTATCAGCGATCTGGAAGCTTTTTCAAGCAAGGAATAGGTCAGGATTGCATAAAGAGGTCTCAGAAGCTTTTAAGCACTTAGAGGCAATGTTTATTGGAGATTATAGAGAATAAAAAGAATTTTTGTACATGAATGTTTAAAGCCAGTTTATTATAATTTTTTTCATCACCTTTAAGTCATTAGAATCACACAAATGTGTATTAATAAAAATTCAAAAAATGTTGTTCACGGCAAAAGAGTGTCTTGCATCTAAAGGAGGTTGAGACTAATTTTGATTGCAATTGTATATACACACACATAAATATACATATATGTGTGTGTATCGGTTATATAAGATGGACTTGCTGGACTGGAGCTGGACCTGGACACAGCTCAGTTCCTGGCCTCATTAATATGACATAGGAACATGAAGGCAATGTCTAAAAATGTTTGGTGTTTTTGTGTCTGCAGGATATTTTTGCAGTTGTGGTGTCCTTGATCACAGGAAAGATCGTGTACATTTCGGAACAGGCTGCAGGGATCTTGAACTGCAGAAAAGATGAGTTGAAAGACAGAAAGTTTGTGGAGTTTCTGACACCTCGTGATGTCAGTGTGTTCTACAGTTTTACAACACCATACAGACTTCCATCTTGGAGCATGTGCACCGGAACAGGTCAGTCTACCAATGCACAGTGCACTGAATGGATTTATTCAAACATATTGTCAACTACTCGCATACTCCCATTCAGAAATATGCCTATTTTTAGGGGTAAATAAAAAGCGCCCATCCATAAAAAAAAAAGTGTCTCACACGGCTCCGGGGGGTGAACAAAGGCCTTCTGTAGCGAATTCCACTTCTGAGCGGCGCATGCGCAGCGCTGATCTCATACGTCATCCGCCCAGAACTGCTTCCCTTTACAACAGTGAGCGCAAGCTACATTAAAGTGATTATTACGGTTTTGTTTATGGGGAAACAGGTTGAGGGAGGTTTCCTCATTTTTTTACTCTACTAATCTCTCTATATCTTGCATTCATTTTGGTCACATTCATCTCTTTCGCTGTTTTTCAGAGTCATCATCGACTGAGTTCATGCAGGAGAAATCCTTCTTCTGTCGAATCAGGTCAGACACACTTGAATCAAGCACTATTATACAAATTTATAGGGATGCACTGAAATGAAAAATCTTGGCCGAAGTCGAAACCTAACAAAAATGAAACACTGGGCCAAAGGCTGAATACCGAACACAGTTTTTCAAGTTTTTTTCCACCATGTATTTTGACAATTTTTTTCACCAATGCATAAATTAAATAGCCAAAATGTGCTTTTTACTGTTTTGTCTTGTTTTTCCAAAAAAAAAAAAATCAATTACAAAACAACAATTTAAAAATATTTAACACTAAACATTTTTTAACATTCTAGCAGACATTATACCAACAAAGCACAATTTAACTTAAAATTAATAAATTACTAAAATAATATTTTTTTGGCGATCAGACCCCCTTCTTGAATCAGGCATGCTGTTGAGCAGAAGAGACTTCTTTTAAAACATTAGAAAATATTACAGATCCCAATTTGAACACTATGTGTGTATGTTATAATAAATGTATTAACAGAGCTGTTGTAATTATTATCATTATTATTGTCTTTTTATCTTATTTGACATGAGTAAAATTACAATACTAACATTTATGAATGTTGGAGTTCTTGCTTTTTGTCAACTTTCATTTTGGCAGAAACGTGCAGGAAGACCTCAATGCTTCTTTTTGTTGACAGATATGATTCTTTAGGGTCTTAATGAAAGTCTGTAACATAGTTTGGTTAAAAATGTTCAATGGTAGTGTAAAAAACACCTAAAAAATGTTTACCCTGTCAAAAACAGCTCTTTTCAGATCAAGCCGTTTTTGTAGCATTTCCCTTTAAATGTTAATGAGCTCTGCTGACCCCGCCCCTCTATTGCAAGCTGCTCTCAGAGAGACTGTTTACTTTAGACTTTACTTTTACATTCATCGTGACACTTGCTAATTAGCACATTATTAGGAAAGGCGATTTCCAAAGATTCATTACAAAACATTATACTCACTTCTTCTGTGGATGAGGCTGGATCACGAATGATTCGCGCGAACATAGATGCATTTATGTAGATCGGGGGCGCATTCCCTTTCAGAA